TGCCTCAGCCTCCCAAGTAGCTGGGACCATCGGCCCTTGCCACAACACCCGGAAAAGGTTGCAGCTGTCATTGTTGTTTTGGCGGGCCTGAGCTGGATTCCAACCTGCCACCTTAGGTGTATATGGCTGGTGCCTTAGCCACTTGAGCCACAGGCGCCAAGCCAGAGTGGTCTATTTTAATAAGTCCAAAGACTTCATTGATCTGACTGCAAAAAAATCCAACAAAATCAATATTTTATCTTTTAATTAAAGCACAGAAATTCCACATTTTGCAGCAGATAAATTCCTAAAGAGTCTTGTATACAACCCATTATATGATACTCATTATATTTTTGGTTGGTTTACTGCAAAGATAAACTTGTATTTAATTATGTGTTAGCCTGCCTATGCTACATAACATTTCCTTTTCCCCACTGCAAGCCTTAAACTGTCCCTGCACAACCCCACCTTTTTTTGAGGTAGAATATACTCAAGAGTCATAACCACCACTATACTTTACAAACAAAACAAACTTATTTTAGAATAAAGAAGACAAAAATTGTCTGCACATCTATATCCAATTCCTTTAATAGACTGAAAGCATTTTCTTTCCTTAGCTTCAAGTTTTACTCAAATACTACATATTTTTAAATGATTTCAGATAAGCAAATTTTATTTCCCTCAAATGTGACTCTGGACTAGTGAATTTTTTTTTTTTTTAAGGCAAGCATGGAACAGAATTTACTGAGGAAGAGAAAAGTAGTAAAGGAGAAAAAGCAAGATACAGGCTCACAGAGCAAGCTATGTCCACCATAGTCAGTAAATGGGACTCCACTCCCAAGGCAAGTAGGCAGAGGCCTAAAATAGTGAATTTGATCACAACTTTGGAGGAGAAAAAGGGATGTATGATATAGCTAAAAATGTAGTGACAGACTAATCTAGCTTCTAGCCAAGAAATAAATCAGCAGTATTTGAAGTGCTAACGTAATAAATGTAACTTTGCTTCCTGTTATTTAATAGTATTAATTACTTCATTGATCAAAATGTAAAAGGTCTGTGAAACTCAACCAAGATCAAAAGGAAACAAATCAAAAATATCTGCATGTTGACATGCCATGACTGACATGCCATGACTACTAAGACCAGGGAAAAGTGACATCAATGATAGAACACACAGAAAAGGACATTACATTTTCTCCTCTTCTGGGTTACCAAAGTCTCAGCTCAGATTCTGAATATGAAATGTTATCTTGTATAACTTAATGTTTTAATAGCTAAAGAGAAGCTAAACAACTGAATAGAAGGCACTTTTAACTATACAAAAATCATAACATAAGTATTCTCAATCTGAAACACTTGGGACCAGAAGTGTTTCAAACTTCAGGTATTTTTGGAATATTTTGCATTATATACTTATTATTGGAAATGAGCATCATTGTGACACAAAGTTTCAGGTTTGAAGCACTTCTGACTTGGAATACTCAACCAGCAATTTATCTGTCAACTTTTAATACCATGTACTGCCCTCTTCACACACACAGCCAATTCTTTAACTTAGTTCTGAAAAGGATTACAGCATTTAACTATGCCA